TTTTTCGGTTTAAACGGTTTCGGTTTATAAACGGTTCGGGTCATTAACGGGTTTATAAACCATTCGGTTCAGTTTCGTTTCAGTTCGGATTTGCGCAGTTTGGTTTGTTATCGGTTTACGGTCCGTAACGGGTTGACATTGAGCGGTTCAATTCGGTTTCGGTTTGATATTGAACGGTTCAGTTCGGTTTTCGGTTTATATTTATCGGTTTATAAACGGATCGGTCCGTGATGGTTCGCTTCGGTAACGGGCGGTTTCACGATTCGGTTTGAAAAGTCCCACCCCTAATAATGGCTAATAATAATTAGGCTTAATTAGAAAATAACACCTGCAAAAAGACCCGATTTTGTTTATAACACCTTAACATTTCGAAATTTTATTATAACACCTACAAAAATCCCAAAATTTTGGTTTCACCACCCACTAACGGATTTTTGGATGGAAACCGTTAGTGGGACCCACTAGGGACACGTGTCAGTTGTTTATTGGCTTAAAAATAAAAATTAGGGGTTTTTTTTTTATTAATTTTTATTTTTAAGCCAATAAACAACTGACACGTGTCCCACTAACGGTTTCCATCCAAAAATCCGTTAGTGGGTGGTGAAACCAAAATTTTGGGATTTTTGTAGGTGTTATAATAAAATTTCGAAATGTTAAGGTGTTATAAACAAAATCGGGTCTTTTTGCAGGTGTTATTTTCTAATTTGGCCTAATAATTATGTAAAAGTAATTTTCAATCACTTTTTCCGACACAATTACTGCCCCATAATGTGTCACCGTGTCATTTTACTTTTCTTCTTCCCACCAACTTTTTCCTTAATTTAGTACTCCTACTTCAAATTTAAACTAAAGAATCGTACTACAATACTAGTCTTCTACCAAGTACTTTGAGATTTTGACCAAAACAGAGGAATAAAAAATCTTTTTTCGTCTTTTTTAATCTTATCTTCAATTTTTTTTCTTTAGTTGACAAGACTTTTATATATACTGTATTTTTTTTAATGTATGTATTTTTCATATATACAATATTTAGGTATCTCTTACAATTTTTGTTTTAAGAGGAAAATTTTCCAAAGTGAATTTACTTTGGAAACAATTTTCCAAAGTAGACGCGTGACGAAACTATTTACCAAACTAAACTTTTAGGGTAAAACACCAAAACGCCATCCTGGTTAGCGTTTTTACCTTGCCAATTTTTGTAAAAATAATTCAGTCAAAGTAAAACGCCAACCAGGGTGGCGTTTTACTGTTGGACCAAAAACGTCAACCTGGTTGGCGTTTTTGTATCGGGTATATATTACAGTGTTATTTTTTTCCGTGTTCTTCATTATTCGCAAAACCCCCAAATTGAAAACCCTAACCCACGGCTCCTTGCTCTCTCAATCCTCCATATTTGCAGCAATTTCATCACATCCCATTGCTTAGTTTTGAATCATAGTCACTAAAAATTAATCCTCCTTCCTTGTTCAACACTTCTACGCACTACATTGATCGAATTTGAGGTATGTAGTGAATTTAACTATTTTACTTGTGTATGATGTTTTTCGGGAATTCATGTTTGTAATTTACAATGTATGTACTATATTGTTCTTCAAGTATGCGAAATTAGTATAACTACATAATACATTGTTGTTTAATGATTGAAATTAAGTATATTTATATGTATGTTGTTTAATTTCGAATAATGTATATGAAGCATACATTATTGTTCATACTTAGTGAGTTAATATGTTTACGAACTACATTGTTGAAATAGGTAAATTTAAATGTATACTACATTGTTGATTAAGTAGGTAAATAAGTACGTTGTTGAACACAACGTTGTATATACGCTTAGCTTGAGGATTTAATAGAATCATTGTGGTTTTAGTTGTGTATATGTGTCATCTAATATGTGTTCCGGTTGTTATGTAGAACATGGCTTCACAATTGATTGTTTTGTTATGCCGTTGGGGGATGAAATTTTGTGTGTCGGATCGAACGTCGAGTATAGAGGAGGAAAAATGGAACCGTTGGTATTGAAACCTTGTATGACTTACAATGATTTGTTGAAGAAGATTTATACTATAACTGGTTCAAACCTAACGAGTGTTGAACTAAACATTAAAATGAGGTTTGAAAGTGTTTGTGGTATTCAAATCTTACTTGTTTTGAATGACGACCATTTGGAGGTTTTGAGAGGTGTCGTTGCAATGAGGTGTCTTCCCACTGATTTATATGTGAAAATGGTGCCTATATGTACTTTACAGACTTTTCGGTTGATGGAGAAACGACCTACATATCTTCCCTCATATAATGTGAGCTCGTTACAAATGCCCTCATACAACATTCCGTCATCTGAATATGGAATGAGGTCTTTCAGTAGAATGTTACACGACGATCAACTTGACATTCCATTCAGTTCACATTTCAATGCACCTGTACATGAAGGGGCGTCGGGGTCAATGATGCAGCAACCTGGTCCATCTACCTCAAACAATGACATTTCATCACCGATGCAGTTGCAAAGTTACTCTCCTACGCAAGAACATGTTCAAGCAACACCGATCATGTCCCTTGTTGAGTTAACTTTCCACAGAGTTAACAAGTACTTTAACACAAGAAGGGATAGTTCACTTGCTAGGCGTGCCGACGGATATGCATACTCACCTAAGGTCACTGCCATTTTGGAGAAGAATAACGGAAAGGCAAAATACCATACACTGGATGTTTATAGCCGTCAGCTTGGTATATACCAAGTACATACACACCGGGGAGAGAGGATAGGCAGAAAAGGGGGTCATAACCATACCGTTAACTTCAATTTGAGAACATGTACATGATATGCAACAAGCCGATGATATTTCACCTACCGTGTTCTCATATTCTAGCCGTGTGTCTTAAGTATTCAGTTTCTGAGGAACCATGGGTGGACAGTTTCCTACGATCAGAGGCGTATGCAAATACTTATGCCCCACAGTTCTGGCCCATTCCTTGTGAGACGACATGGAGGACATACAAGGGGCCTAAAATCATTCCTAATGCGAGCATGGTCGGCAAAAGTCGAAGCATATACGAAATGAGATGGATGAGACTTCGTCCACCAAGCAAATGTAGTTGTTGTCGTCATGAAGGACACAATAAGAGATCTTGTCCATTTCGAAAGGGCGGTGACCGGCAGTGGTCTTAGTTTATGTCTTATTTTAATACCATGTTGTGTGTATGTTTGCAATTAGGATGTAGCTGACTTCTTGTTTTACATTGTGCACTGAACAGAGATCATGGAGGGACAGGAGCCGCCACGACATGACCCAGGATCAGCTGTTCTGTCCTGACACTTCGAAAAGCATAGAAAAAAATAAACTACAGAATAAAGAAGTGTAAAATTTGGCAAAATCAGGGTTTATACAAATGTTTTTTGGGGGAAGAAATTACCTCTTGAGATCGATTGAGTCTCCCCGTTTCTACTACAATTTCACTCATCGTATTTAAGGTTTTGCAAATGTCCTGAAGAAGTAAAAATCATCGTAAAATAATGAAAAAAAATAGAGTACAGAGGATGAATTAACTGACGAAAAATTAAGAAAATCGAACATTTTAAAAACATCCCTGCCACTACGAGTGGTGGAGGTAGACATCTACTAAAAACCCTAAATTCCGAGAATTTTGTTTTCTCTCACCTTGGAATATTTCAGTTTCATTTAATCAACTCGATATGAAGTAGGGATGTCAATGGGGCAAGAAGGGGTGGATGTTGGCCTTCCCATCCCCATCCCCATCCCCATCTAATATTTTCATCCCCATCCCCGCGGCGGGTCTAAAATTCATCCTCATCCCCGCCCCGGTGGGTACAATTCCAAAACTATCCCCGCCCTAACCCCCACTTGGATATCCACCCCCACCTAAGACCCGCCTAATCCCCGCCTCCCGAATACACAATCCTTCATAATTAATAAAGATTGCAAAAAGAAAAACATTACTGTTAACATTACACAATTTTTTGTTTATAATATAAGTGTATAACAAAGTATTATATTTACTATTTTATTTTACATAATTTTTTTTATAAAATAGTATAAAAGTATATAATTTTGTTTTTAAAGATATATGGATGTGGGGATGGGGCGGGTACAAAGTGGGGTAGGTGGGAATGGGGCGGGTACGAAGTGGGGCGGGTGGGCGGGGCGGGGATGGGGCGGGTAAAACCTAAAATCCACCCCTACCCCATCACCCATGGCGGGTATGGTTTTTATCCTCATCCCCGCCCCATCACCTGCCAAACCAAGACCCATCCCCGCCGATGGGACGGGTCTCCTATTTGACTCGCCCACTGACATCTCTAATATGAAGGCTTCAATGGATTCAAAGTGTGCACAGGAAAAGGAAAAGACGAACATAGAAGAAGAGAAATCTTACTTCAGAAGTTACTTCAACGGAAGAGAAAGCTCAGTTCAGAAGTTGCATTAATGGAGAACGTGCTTCAAAACTTCAATGGAGCAGAGAAAAATTACCCCCAAATTCCACAAACCTAATGCCCTTTCCGTCATTTTCGAGTACATTAGGGTTTATTAGATAATCTAGTACGAATTTAAAAGAGAGAATATTGAATATATTGAATCAATTAATTAACGATAAACCCTAGATTTTGATATGGAAAACCGACGCTAAAAAATAACGTTACCTCGCAAGCCGCTTCAATGGAGCAAAGAAAGTTTCAAGCCGCTTCAATGGAAACTTTCTTCTCTGCCTTCTTCACCTCATAGAAGAAAAAAAGGGTTTTATGATTTCTATTGAGTTCTATCAACATCAAAAGAGGAAAGTGGGAATTGCAAAAGGCAAGGAAGGGAGGAAAACTAGGAAAAACCAGCCACCCTAGAGTTCATTCAGCAAATTAATTGGACCAAGGGCAAATAAGTACTTTCAAGCATTAAGGACATAACGGGGAATACACTATTGCCAAGCTACAGTAGAAGTTCTCATATTTTAGTAATGGTTATAGATTATAGATATGATATAAGCTAATCATAATCTTATACTTCTTGAAGTTAAAGTTGCTTACTTTTCTTCATTTCTTTTTCCCTTTTTCTTTCTCTCTCTAAAAATGAACTCTGAAAATGAAGAACAAGCTGCAACTACAGAGAAAACTACTACTGCTTCTGCTGCTGCTGTTTCTGCAAGTTCTGCAACAGTTGCAAGCAGAAACAATGGAAGATTAAAAACCCCTTCAAATTTCATAGGCAGACATCGTTTACAAGCTGCAATTTCTCATCTTGAGCAGCAAATCCAGTATATTCAGGTTCATTATTCTTCCATTTTTGTCTAACTGATCTCTAATACAGTAATAGTTACGTGTAACTTGAACTAATAATGTGACAATTAAATTGGATAAGATCGAGGGAGTAAATATTTTATTATGGGATTTTCTACATTATTTTATTTAGCTCAATTCAATTATTAATGTCCCTATTTTTCATTTATGGTTTTAGAGTGAAATAGATGACCTTGATACAATTGGTGGACCTTCGACAGTTTGCAATGAGTAAGTTATAATTCTTCAAAATCATTTTGGGCTGATTTTCCTAAAAATATTATTCTTAATTAATAAATTATTTTCTGTAATTTATAAAAACAGGATAATATCAGGAATTGAATCAGTTCCAGACCCTCTTCTTCCAATGTAAGAACCCATTTTTCATATTTGTTATTTAAATCATGATTATAAGTATTTAATATTATTACTTACAATATTATTATTAAAATAACACTTGTATTAATTTACAAAAATATATCTGGGATGTTTACAGGACAAAAGGGCCAGTGGATGTAAACTGGGAAAGATGGTTTGGAGGAGCAAGCAGTTCAAGAAGTCACAGGCGTTGGATCTGAACAAGACATTACAACAAACGACAAACAGATGCAGTCTCCATGTCACAAATTACTGTACTCCGTATTTTGTTTGACTAATCATCTCGTCGACATGTTTGTTATCTAACACCTAATAGAATAATTATATTAAATTACGAGTTTGGGCTCTATCTTATTTTGCATGTTTATCTTACATTTGGGTGCGCGTAGAAATAGATATCACACATCCAAATGTGTTAGGAGGTCTCATGTACTTTAAGACCAAATCTTTAGTTTTAAGGACAATTGTGTTAAGGTGTTAGATATCAAACATGTTAGTTGTTTAAAGTTAATTTATATTTGACGGGTTGTCATTTCTCGTTTTGTGGTGGCAACTATTATTTCCCCGTGTACTTTTGTTTACAACTATCCCTGCCTTAGCACACCAGTTTGCAATGTCAACAAGCCAAAATAGGATGAAAACAAGTGAAGAAGTGGTTAACATGATTGATCATTGATGTATTCCTATGATGTTATGGAGTAAATTGTTTGTTAACTCAGGACATGAATGATTGAATACAATATTAGGAACGATGACAAATCCATCTAATATATGGGTAAAAAAAGAAAATTCCAATTTTATTGGAAATTTGTGAGGCTTTTTAGACAAAATATGAGGATGATTTTGAAAGAATTTGAAGAAAAACTCCCCAAAAATTGGATGATTTTACCATCTATGAGGTAAGATTATTAGGAATCACCAAGGCACTATATGATTTCTTCCTCAATGTCGAAATGACGAGAAATTATAATCAATCTCTAACAATTAACCCAAATCAACACTAAGAAAGCAAGAATCAGGCTATATAGAGCTCGTTTCATTAGTTCTAATAGAGAACAACTGCATTTATAATTGCTTTGAAGATCCTTTAAACAAGTTTATAGTAGAAATAAAAAGAATAAGAACAAACGACAAGAGATACTTAAGAGGGTTGTTGAGATGACAAACAATGGAAAATTTAGCTAATAATTAACTCGTACAATGTACATAATTTTCATTTATTTTCCTTCTTAATGGTAGAGAGAAAAGTAGAGGTTATGAGGAGTATGAAGTGCTATTAAAGATGATGTCCCAAATGGTTTTATTTAAATTTGTTTGTTTGTTTTTTTTTTTTTTTTTTTTTTTTTTTTTTGTCAAATAAAGGGAAGTTTTTGACAAAGAAGAGCAACTCATGATATTTTAGAATGGATTAAGTTTTGTGCTATAGAAATCACAAGTCTCTTAAAAGCATTAGGCATTTTTATAGACAACGAAAAAAAAAAAGAAGTGACTTAATTTTGAATTTAGGAATGGACTTCATATGTTATACTCTCTCCGTATCTAAATGTTCTTAATATTTTGATTTTTTTGTGATTCAATGCAAGAAGAACATTTAGAGATAGAGTGAGTACATTCATAAATATGGTTTTATTGCTACATATATAATTAGGTTTCTCGAAGCCTATAATTCCAAAGCATTCATATAGTGCATACAATCATATCGTTAAAGACAAGTTTGAGGAAAACGTAGCAAACACCAAGTTCAGATATAGAGCATATTACTATTAGTATCATTCATCATTAAGATTCAACTTATAATTATCTTAGCTTTACTATAGCTATACCACCCCAAATCTAAAGTCCCGTGGAAAAATTAGTAACTTTTCGATTTCTGACTATCGTATTTCTTGCGATTTTCCAAGGAAGGAAATTAAAGTTGCACAATTAAGCAGGCAAGAAATCCAGGTATAAGGGCCAACCCAGAAGATATTTACATGCCCATAAATGATGGTAAAAAGAAGGGGCAAGTTATAAGATGAACCCGGAAAAGGGATTGTGTTTTGAGAAGACAACAAAAGGCCTCTTCATTGATCAACCGGTATAGCAAGAATCCTAGTATATGTGTTCATAAAGCTGTTATACAACTCCATTCAACTATGAATGGAGAAACCAACATAATACAATGAAATCCACACCGGTAATTGCAAACCTGGATCAAAGGGGATTCTTTGACATCAAAATTGATCCCCTCGCCCTCTTCTCAAACATCACGATACAGCAGGCACATCTCAATCCCCTATCGGAAGCGGGGGGAACTCCCCCAATATACAACGAAAACAAAGCCAAGAGAAACCAAAATGACAGCCACCCTGCACCACCACAATAACAAGGGTTCAGCTTGATGTCAGAAATTTTAGGAAAAAATGTACATGAGAACTAACAGTTAAAGCCTCATCATTGAAAAGGCTATATATTAATAGTTTCTACATTTTCACAAAATACATTTTGGCTATCAACTTTCAGCAAAATTATGGATGAATTACTAAATTAAAAAATTTAAAAAAAAAAAAAAGGTTCAGAAAACGATCATGATTACTTCTTCCCACAAACTTCACAGATTCTGCACCTTGCAACACAATTTACCTACTAACCTTTTGAGCAACAAAGAACCAAGGCACCAAGCCCAATTCAAATCAGCAGATAGTACAACTAAATATCAGATAGCAATTCTTTATAAAAAATTGTCACATCAGCACATATGCATACTTTGCTATACATTATATAGCACAAGGTAAAACATACACTAACGGAGTATCTGGATATCTTCGATTTAGAAAGCAAATGTACTCTATAACTTAGCCCTCTTTTATCAGCATATTGAAATACAGTGGAATCACCTTTCTTTAATGGGTCAAAATTACAACTTCTAACACTCCAGGCAGATACATTTTTTTTATTTTAAAATTGAATACTGAGGTTAGGAATTTCTGCACGAAAGACTCTTTACCAAGCACCAACAAAATATATATTAACTCTATAGTGTGCTACACAAAACAAGTATTTCGGTAGCCAGTAAAAAAGTTCCTCCGTCATCTTGCTTGAATGCCCTATTACAATGTGTAATTAAAGATGCTAGTCTCATTAGGTGGCAATTAATCATCTTCCCCAGTAGCTTAAATAGGAATCCTCGCATCGCAGCAAGATATACCCAAGATGCTCTGGAGAATATTTCAAAATGCATTATTCTGATGAATAACAACTTCTATTTTGAGGATATGGAAGATGGAGAGGAAATAGAAGGGAACAGAGAAGAGGGAAGGTGGAAGGTGGAGCAGGCAGAGAAACTTCAATCTTAATATCATCTTAATTAACAACACTAATGATCTATACCACATAATATCCGACTGACAGCAACATTATGTAATGATCTGAAAATATAGACAGGATGCTAAAGGAAGAAGAGAGCGAATTTGACTGATGAAATTGAAATGCAGATATTGTAAATGATATTCAAGCTTTCAAGAGGGTATAATTATCATTAAAATCAATCAATCATATTTTTTCCAACTGATTCCCTCCTCTAACAGAATTTCCTCCCTAGTTGCTCAAGCTACCTCTAACTGAAAGATAATGACATTTCCTAATATGCTCTTACCCTATACTCAATGCATTACACCTTATAGGGTGATAAGGGTTTACACAATGCTTCTCCATAAATATAGCAATAGAATGACAGCAAATTAATCACAAAGAATTCCCCCATCCTCGATCAGACAGTAAACTCTTATCAGAAACATGTAAATCACCGAAAAAAAATTCCCTAATGTAAAGCCTCCCTTTCAAATAACACTGTTTCGTCATTATTCTATCTCCCTTTTTTTTCATAGATACATAAGAAATGCAGACAAATAGCTGTATAAGGAACCAAAGGACAATTGATACCAGGAAACACCTAAAGTATCGACATTGACATACCAGGAAACACCTAAAAGTAACACAAACACACGCACGCGCGCACACACACACACAATAAAAAAAATGATTGAGCAGTAAATTCCTCACCTTGAAAAAGTCAAAGCAGGACATGTTCCCGGTACTATAAATAAAGTAAATAAAGATTTAGAATCCAGTCCTTTAGACCACTTGTGAAGCAGAATTAGAAGTCAACAGTGTTCCACGAAACCCTTCTTCAGCTTCTCGCACATCAAACTTCTGCTCTGAAAGTTCATCTGAGATTTAAAAGAATTAGATCATATAACAGACTACCAATAGTGTTCGGCACCAAATTAAAATGGATAGAAATCCATGGTCCACATTGGGAATCTTAAGTAATATAGGATCATATTGAAATCTTAAAAAAGATTTTACTTTACGGCATCATCTCATTTTATTACTTTTTAAAATGTCAATACAGTTTCTAGAACCAAAAACAATAATTTCAAAGCTACAAGCAGAGCGCGCCAACAAGCAACAGACACACATCATTGCGATAATGCCAAGCAAAAGAAGACAAAAGGCAAACAACGAAAAACGACATCAGAGACCGGAAAAGATAAAGATAAAAAGAGATGTGTGCAGGCAATAACACAAGCATCCAAAACACAGCTTATAAAAATGTCTGCCAGCAATCCACAAAATCACTAGTATTGGGCAAACAATTCAGTTGCAAAATGTGAAACAATTTAGAAACGCTTTACTAGAATTTCTGGTTGCTTTTCTGTAGGAAGAGGAAAAATCAAGAAGCTACCCTTGGATTTTGGTTAGTTACAATCAGGTACCAGTGGAGTACACTAATAAGCATCAATTTTAAATTTTTAATTAGGGTTTCGGATTTGAGATGGAGGTACAAGCGATTCAATTCGCGAACCACTGCGAATTGGGACGCCGGCGAACCGCAACTTGGTTTGTGCAAACCCAATCAAGATTTGTGGGGGGTAGGTGCGAATCTGGTCACGGTGATTCCAACCCATAATCATCATACTTAAGGAAATAACAATAAAAATTGCACAATAGAACATTCGAATTGATAGTATATTCAATTACTGATCATGAGGATGATATATTGCTATTACCAGCTATGTCGCGATACTCATGGATTTCTGAATCAGTCACCCATAGCACGTCTGCAGGGAATATGTTGAAATCAGCAAGAGTATCAGCTTCACCTTCAATCACCTTGGATCCTTTATGAAGTATTTGGTTTTCTTTAACCACCTGCATATAACATGCCTTCTTAGCACAACATGTAAAGATTATCCATCAAACAGCAAGTACACAGACAGCAAAGGGACATTATAGAAAAGGAAAAAGAACTGCCAGAGCCTTTGAATTTTAACTTATTTTCTGGGCATTTGAAAGTTTCCTTCCAATCATTGTGCTAATGCCACAGCTAATGCTTCATTAATTATCAGCAGAACATAAAGGGTACTTCACAATTCGAAAAATTACACTCCATTTTTTTAAATAAATTGCTATCTTGCTATGCATGGCTGTTCAAGTTTTCTTCTCCAGACCTAATCTTCTATAACTGCTATCTTCTAACAATATCCTAGTAAGAACTGGTAAAATAATAAT